GATGAGATTTGTAGAAAGAAATGCAAACTGTAGTTGACATTTTTCTGTTATATCTCGATAAAGAAAAATCGTTTCATTATAAATCAAATTTGATTTTACAGGGGAAAGATAGTGCTATACGAAGCAGTTCATAAAAATTTTGGAAAAAAATTGAGGTCTTTAGAATATTTTTGTAAAGATAGCAAGAATTGATGCTTTATTATTTGTTTTATTCGATATTTTATTTATTTATTTCATAAACCTAAGATGGTAGGCTGTTTTCGTTTCCATATTCGGATTCTAAAATATATAAGCATTTCCATTATCAAAAATATTTGTTTTTTTGGTACCTGTGTTATCATTTTATTGCAGCCATTTTTCACATAAACGGATGAGATTTGTAGAAAGAAATGCAAACTGTAGTTGACATTTTTCTGTTATATCTCGATAAAGAAAAATCGTTTCATTATAAATCAAATTTGATTTTACAGGGGAAAGATAGTGCTATACGAAGCAGTTCATACAAATTTTGGAAAAAAATTGAGGTCTTAAGAATATTTTTGTAAAGATAGCAAGAATTGATGCTTTATTATTTGTTGTATTCGATATTTTATTTATTTATTTCATAAACCTAAGATGGTAGGCTGTTTTCGTTTCCAGATTCGGATTCTAAAATATATAAGAAGCATTTCCATTATCAAAAATTTTTTTTTTTGGTACCTGTGTTATCATTTTATTGCAGTTATTTTTCACATAAGCGGGTAAGATCTATAGGAAGAAATGTAAACTGTAATTGATACTCTTCTGTTAATTTAGGAAAATAGTTTGAGGAAGAGTTTCGTTATTGAATTGAAACAAAATATATAAATAAATTGTGTTTTTTCGGTAAGAAAGTGCCTCGTGCTTGGGTTGCTCGATTAAATTTTAATAGTTATCGGTGAATCTTAGAAAATCAGGGTCTCGGTGTTCGTTAGCGAGATTATGCTTGCATTTTTAATCTTCTTAGATTATCCTCGACCTTAATCCTTGAGAAGATAATACGATTAATTAGCTTGCTGCGATTGTGATGTAGAATTGCGTGGCTACTCTTAACTTCGATTACAATGATTTCATTTGTTCTGTGCAAATATTGTATAATATTTCCGATTTTTCTAACATTTTTCCGAAATACTACATTTTCACTAAACTCAAAAAAAAAAAAAAAAAGAAAAAGGAAAATGAAAGGAGAAAAAAGAAAGACACACATGGAGAAGGTGAATAATTTCGATTCTTCTACCAATATTTTGCCTTACCATTACGACTGAAATACGACATTTTCACTAATTAAACCAATTTCCACAAACACGTAAACTCAAAAAAAAAAGAAAAAGAAGAAAAATAAAAATGAAAAGTGGAAAAAAGGAAGATACACATATACAGTAGGTGAATAATTTCGATTTTTCTACCAACATTTTTCCCCATCATTATGACCGAAATACGACATTTTCGCAAATTAACCCAATCTCCACAAACACGGAAACTTGAAAAAGGAAAAGATGAAAAAAGAGAGACAGACAGAAAGCATGTAGTTTCGATTTTTCTACCAACATTTCTCCCGATGATTACGACCGAAATACGACATTTTCGCAGATTAAGCCAATCTTCGTAAGGACTGGAACCGAAGAAGAAAAGAAGGATAAGAAGAAAGCGAAAGAAAGCGAAACGAGTCGCGAGATCGCAAGCCAATATCGCGCGGATAGAAGGTGAATGGGACGGCCCGTGGCCCGATCCCTATTTCCCCTGAGCCACCCCGTGCCAACCACCATAAACCTGTCGCGGTTGTCGCGCGACACTCTCCTCTCCGCGTTCGCGCTAAATATAATATTCCCGCGTATTTTCAGCGATGAATGAAACGCACATGCTACCTCTGAATCGGCATACCCGCGAAACCGCGTGAAAAATCTTCTCCATATTTCTTCCCGAAAATATTCCTTTCTTTCCTCCCCCCCCAATTCGTCGGAATAATTCCCGATTTACGATCTCGAGATTCAGACAAGATTTCTAAGGGTAAAAATTGAACCACCGTTCTTTTCTTATCGTTCTCCTTTCGTTTTTGTCTTTTGCTGTTTTATCGATATTGAATTTCCTTATTTTTTAATTTTATTTTATTAATATTGCAATTCGACAGTGTATAGGGTGACTTTGGGGTTTCTAAGGGTAGAAATTGATCCACCCTTTTTTCTTATCGTTCCTCTTCTTTCGTTTTGGTCTTTTGCTGTTTTATCCATATTAAATTTTCATATTTTTTTATTTTATTTTATTAATATTGCGATTCGACAGTGTATAGGGTGACTTTGGGGTTTCTAAGGGTGGAAATTGATCCACCCTTTTTTCTTATCGTTCCTCTTCTTTCGTTTTGGACTTTTGCCGTTTTATCGATATTAAATTTCCTTATTTTTTAATTTTATTTTATTAATATTGCAATTCGACAGTGTATAGGGTGACTTTGGGGTTTCTAAGGGTAGAAATTGATCCACCCTTTTTTCTTATCGTTCCTCTTCTTTCGTTTTGGTCTTTTGCTGTTTTATCGATATTAAATTTTCTAATTTTTTTGTTTTATTTTATTAATATTGCGATTCGACAGTGTATAGGGTGACTTTGGGGTTTTTAAGGGTGGAAATTGAACCACCGTTCTTTTCTTACCGTTCCCCTTCTTTCATTTTTGTCCTTTGCAGTTTTATCGATATTTAAATTTTTCATTTTTATTATTTTATGATTATTATAATTCGATATCACGTAGGGTGGTTTTAGGGGGTGGAAATTTATTCGATCGGCTTATTTCTTTGCCTTCTTATTATATTAGTATTGCGATTCGATATTATGTAAGGTGGTTTAGGTTCGAGTTAGGTTGAAAATTAGGATTTTTTATTTTTTCTATATTCTTTGACTTTTTTTATTTTTTATTTCTTTTCGAGTGTACCGGTATTACGTTTCGACATCACGTAGGGTTTTAGGGTGAAAATTTATTCGACTGATTAATTTCTTTGGGTTTCCTGCTTTTATTCTTATCATTTTTACTATTTCCTTTTCAGATATGTCTCTCTGAAAGAAACTGGAAATTTTAAAACCGTGTTTTTCGGTCGCTTAATGCCGGAGATTAAAGAACCAGGGTGAAGTGAGATCGAATTTGAAGTGTCTTTTAAAAGGAAACCTGAAAAGCAGGAACTTCAGAGCGATACTTAAGTGCTGTACTTAAGTACTCCCATATTTTCTTTTTCTAAATTTTAAAACGGTCGTTCTGGAAAGAAAATTTTAATTCTTGGAAGATTAAAATTTTTATAAAATGTATGGAAACGTAGAAAATACCATAAGATCGATAGATCAATGATAAATTTCGTCCTTACTTCGAAAAACGTATCAAAATTGGCCCTTCGTTTCGTAATCGAGTTAGCCAAGAATAAAATTGATCAATTTTGATCAATTTATTATCGATTTATCCAATATTTTAACGAAGCAACGTCTGTAAATCGGAAATGAGAAATTTTTTTTCTCGAAAAGAAGCATTTCCGACTCATAGCTGACTCATCGCGAAGAACACTTGGCTCTAATTTTATTCATAATAAATTAATACCCTGTTTTAATTATCGACTTCTGCTAGACACTTAATTAAAAATTACAAGATCGCTCGACGCTCTATTATTTCTCAGAATGAGGCATTTATGCAGAAATGCTTCGAGAACATGTACACATGTATACACCTATCTTTGATGTAGTCTTTGATTAGTCTGTAACCAACTTATAACTATAATTACTCCTATATTTGTACCAATACGGTTACTATTCTATACAACTTCTACTGCAATTAATATAATGTACGATTCAATTCCTACTACAACTACTGCACCATAAAATTACTATTGTACTGTTTATATTTCTATATTACTATATTATATTGCAATTACTATATTATGCCACAACTAAACAATAACAATTTATAAATACAATTACTTTTATATCCCTAATCATTTTTATATCTATAGTCACTCCTGTATGTATAGTGATTTTTATTTGTATACTCACTTTTAATTACAAGAAATATCTACGTATACAATATACATACAATTTACGTATTATATAAATATAATATATTAATATATAAATTAATATATTGCGCTATTCAATTCCTGTTACAATTACCGTGCCATATAATTACTATATTACTATATTATATTGCAATTACTATATTATACCACAACTAAACAATAACAATTTATAAACACAATTACTTTTATATCCCTAATCATTTTTATATCTATAGTCACTCCTGTATGTATAGTGATTTTTATTTGTATACTCACTTTTAATTACAAGAAATATCTACGTATATAATGTATATACAATTTACATATTATATAAATGTAATTTACATGCAATATACACATTATATAAATGTAATATAAATATAATTTACATACAATTTACATATTATATAAATGTAATATACATACAATATACATATTATATAAATGTAATATAAATATAATTTACATAAAATTTACATACTATATAAATGTAATACACATGCAATGTACATATTATATAAATGTAATATAAATATAATTTGCATACAATTTACATATTATATAAATGTAATATAAATATAATTTACATAAAATTTACATATTATATAAATGTAATATACATACAATTTACATATTATACAAATATAATTTACATACAGTTTACATATTATATAAATATAATTTACATACAATTTACGTATTATAATACATATGCAATACACATATTATACAAATATAATATACATATAATACCCATATACTACATACACATAATATGCATAATACATAACATTGGAACGACAAAAACATGAATGACAGGAACCAAACGATCGCCAGTAACAATCATTGACCCTATCAGAGAATACTTTGAAAGAGAAAGAAATTTCTTTGTCATTTCTACCTCTTTTCTCGATAGATTTTAATTCATTTTAATAATTGGAATGCGTGTTCCTGTTGCAGAAGAGCGGAGCAGCGGCTGGTGCTCGTGGCAAGGGGTCAGCATGGCAGTCGGTAAGCATCGGCCGTTCTTGGACCAATCCGCGCTCACGTATCTCGGGGACGCTTTCGCACGCGAGTCACGCGTTTCACGCATAATCACGCGGGCCCACGTATCGCGGGCCCGGCTACCGCGTATTCCGCCCTCACCACGCGCATCTCTTCTTTCCTCTTCCCGCCTCCGCCTTTCGTGCCGTTCCTCCTCGCGTGAGCCAATGTCCTTGCCGACGAATCCTCGATCCTCCGCTGAAATCGACTTACCTGAAAGCCGGGAACGTTATTTCTGATCACCACCGAGAATTTCTAATTCCATCTGTATTTATAGCCACGCCGATCGTCCTCCAGATCTCTGCCTTGCCGCCCGATCCTCCCGCTTCTCTATTCGTTCCTCCGGCTTCGTTCAGAGACTTTATATATGAGCCGTTCACTGCACAAATCGATTAACTCCACTTTTTGAGAAATCTTAAATTCAAGTGTCAAAGCAATTGGTGTAGTCGTAATTTTTTATATTTATAATGACTTTCTCTGTTAATTAGGATTAACATCATTAAACGACAAACATTTTTTGGCCACTGAATAATAAATAATTTATTTCAGGGGGCACTTTGATTGACTCCGTACTCTAATGCAAATCGTTGTAATAATGCAACTCAAATGCACTAGCAAGCCATGAATGATAACGGCGAATTTTTCAGCGCCGTCTTATCGGAATTTAAGTAAAATTTAGCAAAATTTTAATTTATTAATTTTTTCGTTTGCCAAATCGATTGACTCTTCTAGTAACATAAAAATGGTGACATTACTAACGATTATCTTTTGCCTATTTTTTCTTACAAATTTTATACACAGTTAGACGAAAGTTACATTTGTATTTATGCATTCTACGATATTTATTTCGATTTAAATTATAAAGGGAATTTTGAAAAGCAATATACATGACTTCATTGCATTTCTCCACTTTTTGTTTTATGCAGTTAATCAATTTGTGCAGTGAACGGCTCATATGTAGTATTGGAAACCATTTTTTTTTTTCTTTTTTCCTTTTCGAGGAATTTCGTCTGTATGTTTAGTCCTGTTTATCGAATTTTTCCATTCATATTTCTTCATTTTAAATTATTTTTTTTTTCGTTCCGACGGAGGGCCCAATTTTTTGCTTTGTGAGTATCGATTCAGTTTTTCCTTTTTTAGATTTTGAATTATTTTTTCGTTTCGATGCGTGTCGAATTTTTTTTTTTACTGACAGTGAGTATCGGTTCCTTATTTTTTAATTTTGGAATTTTAGATTATTTTTTCGACCCGGTGCATATCGTGATTACTTTTTTATAGACAATGTGTGTCGATTCGGTCTGCTTTTAGATTTCGAATTATTTTTTCGCCTCGATGTATATCACGTTTTCTGGTCTGAATGTCGTTTCAATATTTTACAAAATTTTGAATTATTTCTTCGACCCGATGCGTGCAGAATTTTGTAAACCGAGTATCGATATTTCTTAAAAATTTTGGATTATTTCTGCTTTATCTCGATTATTTAGATTCCCGTTTATCGAAAAATGGTGAACCTTGGATTTAGATGGGGTGGAGATAGGGACAAAAATACTCGATTTTGTAAACCGAGTATCGATATTTCTTAAAAATTTTGGATTATTTCTGCTTTATCTCGGTTATTTGGATTCCCGTTTATCGAAAAATGGTGGACCGTGGATTTAGATGGGGTGGAGATAGGAACAAAAATACTCGATTTTGTAAACCGAGTATCGATATTTCCTTAAAATTTTGGATTATTTCCGCTTTATCGCGGTTATTTGGATTCCCGTTTATCGAAAAATGGTGAACCGTGGATTTAGATGGGGTGGAGATAGGAACAAAATGTCGGAGCTTTCGCGGGAGCAGAATTTCGGGAAGCTTTTTAGTTTTTCGAACACGTTCGAAAAGTGCACGAACAGGGGCGGAATCTGCTGGGGGATCTCGATCAGCGAGCAGAGAATCGAGACTCGAATTCGTAGGCGACAAACGTATTTGAAAATCGTTCTCGTTTCGCTTCACGTACTCTGCTCACGTAATCTCTATCGATCATGCAAATTCGAGGAATCTTCTACGATTTTCTGTTTCCTTTCCTTTCCTTACTTTCGCTTTCGTGTACACCTCTCGTGGGGAATATCGATCACAGAGTATCGAGATACCTCGTTATCTTTAATCGTTTGTCATCGGGCCGTTTAATTGGAAGCAAGCCTAGCGTTCGTGGAGGAAACAAAATGGCGCGAGGGGGTCAAGAAAAATCGGGAACGAAGCTGAAAGTTCGCTAATTGCGTGGAAGTTCGTTTGAAGGGATTCGAAACTTTTAACTGGGTTAATTGTAGCTCGCTAAAATTCGCCAAGAACGTGTAATGCTATTATCTCGTTATTTCGCAAAACATTTCCATCGTGTTTCCGCGAGAAGGAGCGACTCGAGTGATAAGGGGCCTCGCGCGTGCGTATAACGAGCAAGATAAAATAATTAAAACCCTCGGACTTGAAATAAAACATTTCAGGAGCTCGCACCGGAAAAACGAGAGGATTTAGCAGCGCGGGAAACACGAAGGAAAACAAGCACGGAATAATTTCAGGGGCCACAATAATCTCTATGGGATTCTATGGTTTTAACGTCGGCGATATTCCGGTATAAATTTCATTTAAAGGAAATGATTACGATCATCTCGGAATTGGTAAATTAATATCCGCGGTGTTGCAAAGAAAATTTTGAATTTTAGATAGTTTAAAATTATAAGGGAAAAGAAAAATTGGGTGTCTTTGGAAATCCGAATTTTAATTTTAATATATTTCTCAAACATATTTTTAGACTTTTTAAATATTTATGTTATTCCATTGTCCAATGACTAGAAATTTTGATAAAATATTGCGCTATTTTTACGAAGCTCGAATTAAATTTCAGAAACTGTTCAAAATAGAAAATCGCCATACGAAATTTTCAAACTAAACAAATTTTCAAACTACAAATTGAGAAAAAGGATCCTGATATCATCAGAAGGTTTAAATCCAAATTGATAGCTCTTCCCAAGGAAACCATAAGACGTTATCGATCCACAAAAATTTCTGACACAAAATCTTGCCAATATAGTCCCAAATCGACAAAAAGAAAAGAAAAAAAAAATTAACGACTACAAATTTAAAATGGAATTCTATATCCTCGGAAGGTTTAAACCAAAATTGAAAGCTCTTCCCAAGAAAATCATGAGACGTTATCAACCCACAAAAATTTCTATGACCCAAAAACATTCCAACATAGTCCCAATTTAACAGAGAAAAGAAAATTAACAAGTACAAATTAAAAAAAAGAATTGTGATATCCTCAGAAGGTTTAAATCAAAATTGAAAGTTCTTCCCAGGAAAACCATGAGACATGATGAACCTACAAAAATTTCTTTGATCCAAAATCTTGCCAATATAGTTCCAAATTAACAAAAAGAAAAAAGAAATAAGAACTACAGATTGAAAAAAGGAATTTTGATATCCCCAGAAGGTTAAAATCAAAATTGAAAGCTCTTCCCAAAGAAACCATAAATCGTTATTAACCTACAAAAATTTCTATCACCCAAAACCCTGTCAACATAGTCCCAAATGACCAAAAAAATTCCATCGACCTCAAAATTCAAATCAAGGTGAAAAATCCCCCCCGAGAAATATTTTTAAACTTGAAACCAGACTTACCTCGTGACTCTTCCTCCCCCTCTCATCCCCCTCTTGCTCTTCTTTCTTCCGTCGCAGTGCGAGGTCGATTCATCTTCGGAGAGTAATAACGCTTGGATCGTGAACGACGCCGCGGCGGACTTCCGGTGCCGCGTACGGCTGCCTCGTTCTTCGCTTCTGGTTTACAGGGTGGGGGACAATACCACGTCCGGTCCATCCCCCCACTTTCAAGTACCATTCGAATCGTTCATGGCGTCCTATAGGCATGGTGTATCTCTCTGGAACCGAACAGTCTCAGGTGGACCTCGTGTTCGTCTAGTCGCGAATCATTGCTCCCTTCCTCCCACGTGTACTACACCATCGGTCTTCCTCACAGTTTCCGCGAAGAAAAATCACGTGGAACCTCGCGAACCTTGTGATAACGTAGACATCAGTCAATGACATTTCTCCTTTGGTGATTACCCGAAGTGTCCAAGTTGGAATCTTCTTCTAGTACTAAAAGACACGCCTGCTCGGTGGACAGGTTGCCTGTCTGAACGTCGGACAAGTGCATTATTCGGATCCTTTGGACCCCCGTGATCCACGAAAAGCGTACTCATCGTTCTCTTCAAGGTCGGAAGATCGATCATAATTAAAAGATCATAGTGATATCGCTTAATAAAAATTGAGAGTACCTGGACCATCGTGAACGTGCAAAATGTCTCTGCCTAGACCCTGCCAATCGTCAAACTGATATAATCCACCTGAATTCTCAGTCTGCGAGTTTTCTAAGACGAAAAGTTCCTCGTTTCGTTTCATAAACACAATTCTGCGAAGCAATAATTGGAAGTCGTGAGATGAGCCAGTTGAAAGGGATCTAGATCAGTGACAGAAAGCGTCCTCGCAGAGTGACAGTTGTCAGAGTGCAGACTCTATGAGCTTGGGTCCGCATGTTCACAGACAATCCTTCGTATTTCTCGTTGTCGAGCGGGACGGCGTCGTCGTCGGCGACGCCTGCGTCGACAACGAGCGTCAGCCTCTCGCCGCCGTCCAAGGGTCCCACGGGTCTGACGGCGCTGTTCCGACGCCGTCCGTGTAAGATGGGCTCGACCTCCTCGGCCAGCGTGCTCTCGACGTCCACGAACAGCACCCTGATGCCCCAGGAGAGCAACAGGAGCAGCGCGTCGGGCGCCTCGACGCCCACGGAAGAACGCGTGCCGATGTTGCCGAGGAATGGCACCGGTCATTGCGGAAACGGGGCCGGCTCGGTCAATCAGAGAAGGAGTTTCAGGAATCTGTTCAGGTCTGTCAGCGCTAACGCGGATAACGAGAGGACACAGCAGTTCCTCAAAGGAGATCCCAGGCCTTCCGACGTTGCGCCACCCTCGCCCTATCTGCCGCACAGGTTGGTAACTCTTTTGGGGTTTGGAATTTTGGCTGATCCTTGTGAGGGCTCTTTGTGGGTGTTTGGATCCTGGATCTCTTGGTGGCTTTTCTTTATTAATGATCAATGGAATTTAGCTTCCATTTCATGCATTGCCAAATGTTTTGCGTCTTCTGAATCTTTGTTTTTATTTCTGTGATGGGTTCTTATGAATCTTTTGAATTGTTAATTGGTGAATTTTTAGTTAGCTTGGGTCTCATAGATTGGTAACTCTTTTATGTCTTTGGAATGATTGGTTTTATACTTGTGATGCATTCTAATGAATCTTTTGCAAGCTTTTGAATTGTTGTTTAACTTGGATATCTTAAATTGGTATCTGTTTTGGGATTTAGAATTTTTCTGATGTGTATGAGGACACTTCATGGATGTTTGGATCCTGGATCTCTTGGTGGTTTTTGTTAATTAATGATCAGTGGAATTTAGCCTCGGTTTCATAGATTCCTAACTGTTTTATGTCTCCTGAATCTTGGTTTTTATCTCTGTCATGTGTTCTCATGATTCTTTTGAAAGCTTTTGAATTGTTGATTGGTGAATTTTTAGTTAGCTTGGGTCTCATAGATTGCTAACTGTTTTGTGTCGTTGGAATGATTGGTTTTATATTTGTGATGTGTTCTCATAAATCTTTTGCAAGCTTTTGAATTGTCGATTAGTGAATTTTTAATTGACTCCAGTATCTTAAATTATATGCTTTGGATTTTTTGAATCATTTCTTTATCTCTGTGTGTATGCAGCTTCTTTGTGAATGTTTGGACCGTGGATTTCCTGGTAATTTTCACTAATTATTAATCGGTGAGATTTTAATTTTGTTTCTTATGTCTGATAACTTTTATGCATATTCGATGATAAATCTTTTGGTACTGTTCGAATAGCTCATTGTAGCAATTTTAATTAACTTGGGTCACAGATTGGTAATTATACAGTATTTTTGTAAATCCTTTAATTGCAGGAATGTCTATGCTTATCGCTAGTTTAATTGTGAATTACTTGGTAATTTATGGTGATTAATTTTTTAATCTGAGCTAGTTTGGAATTGTTAATTGAATCATTAATTGGTTACATTCCTCAATTTAATCTTTAATCGACTAAAATTCAATTAATTACGAATTACTAACTAATTAAAATTTTATTGAATGATTTAAACGATTCTAATACTATTCTGGGAATTTTGGAACTTTTAGTAATTTGTGTACCGTTTGCTTATATATTTGCTTATTGCCAGTATTCTGCTTACAGTGATTAAGATCTATTATAGTTTCACTAAAATATTCCTGAAGACATTTGTTAATAATACAAAATATATATTCAAATATAAAACTTTTCGCGAAATTACAATTTTGTTCTGAGATATAATTTAATAAACGTTTATGCACGAAATATTACAAAGTATATGGTGTCTCACAGGTCGCACTCACACTCCGAGAACGATAGGAGGCGCCCAGGACGAAGCAGGGCCGTATTAAAATCCGCTAGTGAACTTTTGTCCAACGATATGGTGTACTGTGGATTGGCCAGAGATAATCACGATCATGACGATGACGACGACGACGACGATGATCATGACTCGAGTGAAGTCTTCGTTGGCGTGGACGATGCTAGGTCAGTAACAAAATAATCTGAAAATAATCCAATATTAACCCTAACTACTGTCCCTTTCACACATTCAAAACTTCCACTTCCATACTTAATACTCATTCCACAAGAAAAAATAACTTTCCAATTCTAACCTCTAATAATAATAATTCTATTCAAGTACCATTACTTAACCTAACCTCTAAACCAAACTACAAAATAAATCAGTGTATCATTATTACCCCCATATAATCCATGTTATTGAAATAAATTCCTATCTAATTTTTGGATCAATATCAAAACTTCCACTTCCACACCTAATACTCATTCCAAAAGAAAAAATAACTTCCCAATTCTAACCTCTAATAATAATATTTCCATCAAAGTACCATTACTTAACCTAACCTCTAAACTAAACCACAAGATAAATCAGTGTATAATTATTATCCTCCTATAGTCCATGTTGCTGGAATAAATTCCTATCTAATTTTTGGATTAATATCCAAACTTCCACTTCCATACCTAATACTCACTCCAAAAGAAAAAATAACTTCCCAATTCTAACCTCTAATAATAATATTTCCATCAAAGTACCATTACTTAACCTAACCTCTAAACTAAACCACAAGATAAATCAGTGTATAATTATTATCCTCCTATAGTCCATGTTGCTGGAATAAATATTAACCAAATTTTTGGATCAATATCAATATCATCTTCCCGTTTCAGGTACTACAACCTGTCATCCACCCTGCCAGCAGCAGGATCAGCTGCAGGAGGTCGAAGAAGGCACTCGATCAGCACCTTTCTGGGCAAAGGTTCGTCGAGCAAAGACAATATCTCGAGGAGGCAGCCACAGAGTCCAACAGCTCTCGTAGAACCCGACTCGATGGCGCCACCAGCGCCTGTGGACACCGTAGACGGGATCCACGTGGAAGACCGGAAGGGTAGGTCTTGCAGCAGGACCAGACGCAGGCGACACCGCAGCTCTTCCAGCAGGGGTGAGTAGAGGAAGACGACACAAGATGGCGCCGATTAGAAGAGGGTTTTAACACATTCTGGACAGATGATGAGATGAACTGATGAAATTTTATGCTTCCTTAACGAGACATCTCCAGTTCTGTCAGGATCAAGAGTACTTACAGAACACGTGACTTCTGGAAACGATTCTTAGCAAAGCGTTTGCTCCACGATGTGTTAAAACGATTCACCAGATTGGGTAGAGGAAGATGAACCAACACCTTTCGTTTTCTAAAGTGGATCAACGAATCTCTGCCTTTGATTTTATCATCGAGCGTGTTGTTTAATACAGTGGATGGATTATGTTCTATTGGGATAATGTCTCAGAATCAGAATAAGCAACTTCCACCGTTAGGTCTTTATTTGAATTGGCAAAAAGAAATGCCAGATGTCGCTAGAAGAGTCTAGCAACATGGAGAGGGATATTAGAATTCTCCAACAGAGCGAGTGGCAGAGGTATTAGGATGTTATATAATAGAATTATCGTAAGGATAGGTAGTAGAAATGCGTTGTTAAGACACGATCGGTCATGCTGTAGAAAAATGAGTTAATTTATCTATTACTTTTTAACAATACCCAGCGAAGGAGCGATCCCGATCGAAGATGTACAGGCTACATGAACGTGAATCGAGAGAGAGCCACGTACCATGTAGTTACCGTAATTCCAAGTCAAAGGTCTCCATCTAGTCGCTATTCCGATCTGACTGAAAGCACTTTGATGTATTAACGAACGAGTCAACGAGACTTAATTGGCCGATTAAGAGAGGTTAGAATCGCGCGGACGTATCGAGGCGAATGGATGAATGCCGCGTTTGATTCTCACGGCCGGATAAATTCGGCGATTCCATTCTTTCCTCCTTGTCGATCAATCGCTGCCTGGCGATTATGGTCGCCACTCGAACGAAGGAGGCCCGACGGCCGTTCCCACGGGACAGATTTCGCTTTGCACGCGCCCGCATGCCCCTTCGAATCACGTACAAAAGCCTCGTTACGAATTCGAGCCGAAAGCTACTACGCTCAGGGCAGCCACGATCCTTGGAACCGCGCCGCGAGTCTCTGTACGCTTCGTTCAGTCGATTGGCAAGTCGATTTTCGTGATCGAATTTCGGTTGTTGGTACGGTTTCTGGAACAATTGGGGTTGATACGGTTTTTGAAAGAGTTGAGATTGGACAGTATGGTTTTTGAAAGAATTGGATTTGGTCAATACGATTTTTGGAAGGGTTGAGTTTGGTTGACAGAGCTTTTAGCAATATTGGGTTCGGTTGACAGAGCTTTTAGAAAAATTCGGTTTGGTTGACAGAGCTTTCAGAAAAATTGAGTTTAGTTGACAGAGCTTTTAGAAATGTTGGGTTCGGTTGACAGAGCTTTTAGAAAAATTGGGTTCGGTTGACAGAGCTTTTAGAAAAATTGAGTTTGGTTGGCAGAGCTTTTAGAAAAATTGGGTTTGGTTGCCAGAGCTTTTAAAAATGTTGAGTTTGATAGACAGAGCTTTTAGAAAAATTGAGTTTGGTTGACAGAACTTTTAGAAAAATTCGGTTTGGTTGGCAGAGCTTTCAGAAAAATTGAGTTTGGTTGACAAAGCTTTCAGAAAAATTGAGTTTGGTTGACAGAGCTTTTAGAAAAATTGGGTTTGGTTGACAGAGCTTTTAGAAATATTGGGTTTGTTTAATTATGCCTTTAGAAATATTGGGTTTGGTTGACAGCGCTTTTAGAAAAATTGGGTTTGGTTAACAGAGCTTTTAGAAATATTGGGTTTGGTTGACAGCGCTTTTAGAAAAATTGGGTTTGGTTGACAGAGCTTTTAGAAAAATTGGGTTTGGTTGGCAGAGCTTTTACAAAAATTGGATTTGGTTGACAGAGCTTTTAGAAAAATTGGGTTTGGTTGGCAGAGCTTTTACAAAAATTGGATTTGGTTGACAGAGCTTTTAGAAAAATTGGGTTTGGTTGGCAGAGCTTTTACAAAAATTGGATTTGGTTGACAGAGCTTTTAGAAAAATTGGGTTTGGTTGACACGGTTTTTGGAACAATTGTGTTTGGTTGATATGGTGTTTGGAAGTATTGTGTATGATTAATATAGTTTTCAGAAGAGCTGAATTACATCGGTACAATTTTGGAAAACTTTTTTGGCTTGGTAGATATTGATCAAATTTGTCACAAAGGGATAAAGACACTAAACACTTTGCTCTCATGTTTGTATCACAGTGTTCTAAGTAATCAGATGGTCACATACTGCAAAAGAACGAGGATAATCTGCACACAATTGTTAAAAGTTTGATACAATTGAAATATTAAAATAAGTTTTTCCAAATATCCATCGGTTAATTCGCGGAATAAATTAAGGAAATTATGTCACTCTTCTCCAAGAACTTTGAAACTATAATCAGCGAAGCAAACGAAGTCTTCTTCGAATCAGGTTAAACAAGTAACCCGTTCATCAGCAAGATCAACATCAAATTATTTCAAGTCGTTCTAAGACCGCCAGTGAAAATTTTCTAAGCTCCCTAAACGATGCTCGAAATTCTCAAAGTATATCTACCAACATACTAAACAAAGATAACTATCACACTCGATTTTTCAATATTTGTTAAAGAACCCCAAATGAATCTAAATCAATCACCACCCAATCTTCATTAAAAATAAAATCAACTTATTTCAGTCTTCAATTATGTTTTGTAACAAATTTCCAAATTAAAAATCCAAGTAAGAAAATCACCACCTAATTTTTCCAAAAATAACTTCTGTTTATAATACACTTCAATTATAGCTCACTATAACACGAACATTTACACAAAAAGGAGATAATATATTTAATCAAGAAACCTACTATAAATTATTACATGATCATCCTACCTCTACAATCACAAGCACTAATCCAAATAAATATCAATCACGTTCAATCAATAATCAAACACACAGGCAAACCAATCTCCCATTTCCATTAAATATAACTTCCACCTGCTCCAGATTTCAAATACTCTTTAACAATCTTCAAACATACTCGAAATCAGAAATCACCATTTAATTTTCCCCAATGTAACTTGTATTTACCATCCACCTAGCCTCTTAATCGAGCAGACCTTGGTCTAACACGAATTAGGTTAATCCAGTCTTTAAAAGACCCCCTGTAAACTGTCTCATTGTCATCGATTGACAGGCAATAGTCAAACACAGTCAACGCAACACCTAATTTCCTAATTAATCAGTCAAATATTGTAGTATCGCGAGTTTTTCACTGCATGTGCTGCATTACGAAAGTCACTGAGGGTTCGAAGGCCAGGTCAGTCGGAAAAACACTTGGCCATACGTTAGACCCTTAGCACGACCACTTCTGCTCGTGTTGGGGAAGGCATTGGAAAACTCGTAGAGGGTGTGTATGGTGAAAAGAAGAATATAGAAGGACAAAGACGTTCTGAGCGAGGGGGTTGTCGAGGAGAGCAGAATTGTCGATTAGACAGTTACTAACCTAACTTTACCGACCTATATAGCCTATTAATCGGTTGTCATGGCGATGAACAGTCATTATCTTGTTATATTATTTTTGTTATTATATGAACAGCAATTTGTTATTTAGTATTGAGGTACGTTGCTCAGTTGCATCAGTTGCGTTGCTTTGTAAGCTCCCAATTTTTATATGGGGGGCGCCAGGGAGAATCTGCGGCTGAGCGTCCCTCGAATGAGCTTATGCTGTTGAATCGGTAGCGGTTCGTAAAGTGCTAAGTCAGTTGAGAGTTGTCAAAGTTAGTTTCCAGAGTTGTTGTTGCTAGTTATGAGTTGTAATAGGAGGGTTGCTGCAGAAGTGTAGGTTGAGCGTTGTGATAAGTTGTAATAGTTCGTACCTTTGTCGTTGCTCACATACTTTGTCACTGTTAATTTATTATTAAATTTACTAATAAATGCCATGGGGGCCCCCGGTGACCGGCGACATGACCATTAGTAAAAATACATAATTAGAGTAAATATCGATACTGATAAATTTTTAAATAGCACCATTGTTACTATAACGGTTCGAAGAAATTAATTTTAAAATAATTTTATTTATTCAGAGAAAAGGTGAACCAAAACAGTCGGCACAATATGTCGCCACTTTTTTAGTGCAATTCTTTGCTCTCGTTCTTCCTAGCTGATTTGAATTATTTTCATAGCGCACTTTGCAAAATCGCCTTACATTTCGCACACTTCCAGGTTTCTTTTTAAATTCGTCACCACATTTTCTCTGTACGTAATTGCTCGACGAAATGCAATCTTCGTCATCAGAACATTTCACTAAATACATCGCTAATTTCGTCCTAAAATCGAGAATTGAAATATTTTTTCGAGTTGCTTTTTAAACAATTGATAATGGCAAAAATGGTCTACAGCGCCTCAGTGGTCACCGATGACCCCACCACGAAAAATACATTAAACGCGATTATACAACCTTATCTGTTGTAAATTATATTTCAACGTAATATGCATCGCACAATAGAAAATTCATCGTTGCGCCACGGGCAATCCCTGTAAAACTGGCGTGGCATGCAACGTGTTAAATAAATGTGTATACCATCACCAAATGGTCTCTACAATATGAATCGCGATCCAATGTAAAACCCACCTAGCCTATGACACTACTGGAAGGTTCATCAAACTCCTATCTCGAAGTACCCCTAACTCCATTGAGCCTGTAAATTACCCTAAAGCAGCCTGGACACCCGCGATCGGAATTTACACCAACGACTGAAGCGAAAAATGGCGATTCCCAGCCTAGCCCAGGATTCTCTCGGAATCCCAATTAGCAATCGCGGTCCTAAAGGATATCCGGTGATCTTTGATCGGCTCGCAGAGATAATCCTGAGCTGTGGACGGACGTGTGTAGACGGCACCTGGTCCCCGGAAGCCCAGTGCTGTTAGTATTCGTGGAACGAGCCGCGTTTTCCGATCTGTGGCCGATCGAGGCAGCCGAAACTCGGCAGACGGATTGTAAAATTTACGGCCATACGTGAT